TTTGCTCATAAATATAGAGATGCTAAGGCAAATGGAAGAAATGATAAAGTAAAAGCGCTGAACAGAAAATTTCAAAGGACAGCTCGAGAAAACAAAGTCAAGTATAATAATGAAATAAACAAAGACCTGGAGTTAGAAAACCAAGAGGGAAGAACACACTCAGCAGTTCTCAAGCTGGAAGAACTGAAGAGAAAATTCAAAACTTGGGTTGCAATATTGAAGGGTTCTATAGGCAAAATACTGAATGATGCAGGAAGCATCAAAAGATGCTAGAAGGAAGATACAGAGTCCTTGTAACAAAAGGAATTGGTCAACGTCCATCCATTTCAAGAGGTAGTATACCATCAAGAACAGAACATGGAATTGGAGGAAGAAGAACACGATGCACTGAAGGCATTAGGAAAATACAAGACTCCAGAAATTGAAATATTTCAACCAAGCAGTCTATGTCAAGAAATTTGGAAGACAGCTACCTGGCCAATAGACTGGAAGCTATACATATTTGTGCCCATTCCCGTAGGACATGGAAAGTATTAAACAATACCATTAATATCATATGCAAGTAAAATTTTGCTGAAGATAATTGAAAAACAGTTTCAGCACTACATCAACAGAATGCTACAAGAAATTCAAGCTGGATTCAGAAGAGGATGCAGAATGAGGGATACCAATACTGACATCAGATGGATCTTGGGTGAAAGACGAGAATACCAGAAAAATATTTACTTGTGTTTTATTGACTATGCAAAGGCATTCAACTGTGTGGGTCAATACACAATGGATAACATTGGAAAGAATGGTGGTAGTTATGTGCTGTGGAGTCAGTTCTGATTCATAGTGACCCTGCACAGGGTTTTGAGGCTGTAAATCTTTATGGGAGCAGAAAGCCTCATCTTTCTCCCCTGGAACGGCTGGTAGTTTTGAACTGCTGACCTTGAGTTTAGCAGCCTGATTCATAACCACTACGCTACCAGAGCTCCTCCCATAAAGATTACAGCCTAGGATATCCTATAGCAATCGGGCCGCGAACCTTAAGGTCAGTGGTTTGAAACTACCAGCCGATCCGCGGGAGAAAGATGAGGCTTTCTACTCCCGTAAAGATTTACACCCTCAGAAACCCTGTACAGGGTCGCTATGGGTCGGAACCGACTCAACGGCACTTAACAACAACAACAACTCTTTCCTGTAGTGTCACTATGAGTTGGAATTGACAATATACCCTAGCCAAGTTGTTGTTAAGTGCCGTCGAATCGGTTCCGACCCATAGTGACCCTGAACAGGTTTTTTTTTTTTTTTTAAATACTGCATTTGATTTTTAAGAAAAGTTCCATTACATGATTTTGCATTGGCATTTAAAAATATCAGAACAAGCCTTTGCAATATCATATATATTACATTTCAATACAGCCTATGTGAATTAAAAACAGATCAGCTTGATAAATGTAAGAAAAGACATTCAAGGATTCAGCAAAACCTAAAAAAGAAATTGCTTAATAATTGGTATCTTCAGCATTTGAACTAGATTTAGTGGCTTTCTTTAAAATGAACATGAAACAAGAAAAGATTAATAAAAGAGGCAGCAATGCTATGAAACTAGCAAAAACCTTAACAGCAAGCAAGGTATTTTCTCGCAGGGAGCCAAACAGATCAGCATATTGGAAACAGGTGAGCAGCCTCCAGTTCTATGGTCTATAACATTTCTATCAAGAGCTGAGGTTGCCTACTAAGTTTAGGTCGAGGTATGTATTCGAGTTCTTAGTACTCGGAACCATGCCTAGGCCAGGGAGGTACTCAGTACTCAGTGTTGTTGTTGTCAAGTGCCGTCGAGTCGATTCCGACCCATAGCAACCCTGTATAGGGTTTCCAAGGAGCAGCTGGTGAGCTTGAACCACCAACCTT